AAATATGCCTCGATTATTATATCACATAACATTTATAGCAATGATGTCTTTCTCTCTAGACAGGATGAGAGGGTCATCAGCTTCTTCTTAAGTAGCATGTAGTGCTGCCTCCTTTGACGCAACATCAATGCTATCTAAATCACATAAGAAAGAAAGTTACATCATTGTTTGGCAAATAAAAAGAATAAATTTCAATAGAATATTTATAATAATGATTTATTAAAAAATTTACCATCAACAACATGTTTTCCTTAATCTTGTCATCATCTTTATAAGTCAGGCGAAAGTTACCATAAGCTAACTTAGCCTTTAAATTGACTGGCATTATCGGCATCCCCTACAAATTTAAATAGTTAAAAGAGGTAGGTCATATTGACGAAATAAGTGAATACAAACTTTAAATAATAAACCATGCCTCGACAATAATAATACTCAAGATTAGCAAACAAGGTTGATCCCAAGTGGTGATCAAGCTTGCGTTTGCTCTTTTGATTCGCTGATCCCTTTTTAGATTTATTCTAGAAAAAATTGTTTATTAGTAAAGATGAAATGAATCTATAATCTTTGTTAATAAGGAAAATTAAAATAAAAAATACTTGTACTAACTTGGTGTCCCAATAGAAAAGAGGCATTGTAAAATGATCAAGGGCCACCTTATCATCAATATTTAAAAACCTCTGCCAATCTGCTATATATACATCGTGTTAAGGCTTTCAACTCGTGCCACCACTATTTGAGTACGACCTCGCCCTTTACATTGAAAATATAATGACATGCTCCGGGATGGTCCTCAAGAAAATACTATTCCTACAAATTTGCATATGTTATAATTACATTGATATTTTCTTTACAAAGTCCTTCAATAAGAGGTCTACTCGCACTTACTAAAACTGATTCAAGTTAACAATGGACAGCTTTGATTTCTTGATTAAAAATCCAAGTGGCACACTGGTTTTCAATATTTGAAAGATAAGTTTGCACAAGATGCACCAAGATGGATCTAAATATTAACTTGTATGAGACTGATAATATGTTACAAGAAGAAAGAAGGAAATTACAGCACAACCTTGTGGATAAATACTCACCATTAAGGATGAGAAAAGAATATGGATATTTTCTCATGTTCAAAATGTACAATGTAAATTATCTATAGACTCCTTCAGTGGGAGGGGTTTGATAAAAGTTTTTTGAATCAAGTTACCCAAATGACAAACTTTAATTTTTTTGAATGCAAATCTAAAAGGAAAACTAATTTTACTAGTTAAAATATAGGTTTTGACAACACCAAACCATTAAAACTATAACTCCTTCACATGCTAACATAAAATGATATAAGCCAAAAACAACATAACTCTAGTACATGCTTGAAGAAACAATAGCAGTACCAACATAAGCCCAAAACAAGAAAAAATTTATTTCAAACGGATAAGCTTATGCAAGTACACCTTTTATTCTATAGTCATGTTATTAGAGAGAGATAATCTATGAGATGATAGCGGTATTGTAGAAATCCAAATAGACCATTTTATTTAGAGTACTAAAGTAATAAAAAGTAATAAAGTAATAAAAAATTACCATAAGCTCTCTCCATATATCCTCATTGGAGCTCCATGGAAGCTTTGTGAATTTGAAGTACTGGTTGATGATATTTCATCTCTATTTTCAACTTCATATTCTTACATGTTCAACAGGGGCAATACATCACACCACTACTTAAATTACTTGGGTTCCTTCCGGCAGACTTTAGGAAGGCTTCAATCCGTCCTTATATCATTGATCACTATATTGTTCAATTCTGAGAATATCTATCCACGAGTTGTCCGGAATTATCCTCATCTGTATATATTATATAATAAAGCTCCAATTAATCTCTCTACTACTAATAAATTTTTAACTCTTCAAAACAATATATATACATACACACATCATCCTTATACACATGTATCGTTTAACAACACAAGAAATATTTTTCCTTCTAAATTAAAACTTAATTTTAAGTTGATTTGAACACTATACTGGTTGTTATATGTAGGCTTCTATCACATTAAGAATATAGTAGTGCATACATCTAACTTTGTATACTTTATGAATTTTCATGTCTAGAAAATACTACCCTCTTATTCTCCGAGTACATTGTGTGGATGGTATTATGCATATTAGCAATGGACCAAAACACAGAACAACATACACTTATTGTACACTAAGAACAACAAGTATGGGTTGCCAAAATATTCTAAAAGCGAAAACACACAAATATAAAAAGTTAGATGATGCACTATTATATTCATAACTCTTCCAACCTGGATAGATCTATTGATTAATGTCATTTCTTTTTTACTTATAACATCAGATACACGTTCCCTTATTAGATGGAAAACTTAATTTCATATCCAAACGGAGTCTTCTGTCTTATATTAGAAGTCCAAAGAATTGATAATAATTATTGGACGAGGTCTAAGAATAACATTAATTATTTTTTATTCATCTAAATTAGATATATAATACATTATTGTATCATGTACCACACTATTTTCAAAAAAAATTGTTCGATAAATCAAACATTATCACAATAGAAACAAGCATATACAACCATATATAGCATGAACATTCATGATAAATTTAGAAATATTGTAAAAATTAGGATAAAGATTTTCAATTAGGGTTAACTTCTGAAAATTGTTCAATTAGGGTTAGGATTATTAGGGCTAAATGTAGTTCAATCAACGCTATTATGGTTTAAATCAATAATCAAAGTTATTTATTAAGGGCTAGGATTAAGAAAGTTTTTGCAAAATGCATCTTGATTAGTGTGAGTTAGTCAAATATAATTGAATAATAAACTAAAAAAATTATAAAAAAAAATTAATAATTTTTGTGAATCACATCTTAAATGAGGAAGAGGACAACATGGCATAGTGGTGGCAACTTTGAGGCGCAACAACGATATCACAGGCTGCAATTGTCGAGGCTATAGAGGCACCTTCAGATTTGCAATTTGGAGAAGAGATGTGATTCAAACAAAAATCCCTATAAAATTAAAATAGAAGGGAATATGACATATAAAGATCTGAAATTTTACCTCAAAATCAAAATTATTAAAATCAAATAAATGAGGAGAGCGGAGGTTGCGGGGCTCAGTCAAGCGCTTGATTGTGGGGCTCAGTCAAGCTCTCGATGGCGGTTGCAATTGAGGAGGAGGACTGGCGGTTGCAGTTTAGGAGGGCGATCGATAGTTGCAGTGCTTGTCTCGGCTTAGATGAGATCTGGTTGTTGTTGTGGTTAGCGGCGGAGGCAGGTGGCATGATGATTGTTGAATATCATGTCTCCAAGATATTATTTTGATGATAATAATTTATACTATGTGTGTTATACAAATACACTAACATTTATATGCAGATTTCAATATCAAATATGAACAAGTGCAAGATGAGTTCAAGGCATTATGAAGTAAAGAAGATGAAGAACATATACGTCAATATAATTATTTTTTACAATTTTCTTTACTTAGAAATATTGTACAAGCCTTGATCACTCATGTTGGCCTTCTTGTTTTGATGATGTTTAACAAACAATTTACTTTTAATATTATTTGTCTAGTGTTTGTGTTTTTGTATTTATTCTAGGCAAACAACGAGTTAGAGGATGGATGGAATAGAGCTTCAACGATCATATCCAATGAAGATTGGTAGAATAGTAGGTGAAGCTATATACAATTCAAGTTGAAGATCCAAGTTCAATCTTCATCTGTAAGTGTACCAAGTTAAGCTCATTGAAGACCTTCATCAAGCTTGGGTAATTTAGTTTAGGAGTTTATATTATTTGTGTTAATACCTTAAGCTCAATATAATATATACACACACACATTTATTGGTTTCCATGTATATATATATACATATATGTTTTGGTTTAATAGTTTTCAAGTTTTACTATGAAACAATTAAATATAATTAGAAAACATATTTTAGTTTCATACTTAAATACTATATTCATTGTTTATAGACTTCATAACAATAGTTTATATCTTTCTTCAAGTCTATAAAATCATTTTGTAAAGTTTTAAAATATGGTTTAGGCAAAATGTTAAAATTCATATGTTTATATTTCTATGTTTTGTAGCATGTTTATTATCATGTCTACAATCATTCCCCAAAGTTTTATATTTTTCTGAATTTATTTGATATTTTTAAACAGTGTTTTAAAATCAGCAAACTGTTTTTAAACCTGAAAATTTCATATATCAGTTCACAGTCGACCGCCACGGTCGACCGCGCCTTTGTTTTTCCATCAGGATGCAGCAGAAACTTTCGCGGTCGACCGCCACCGGCGACCGTTTAGCTGAAAATTTCTACGGTCGACCGCCACGGTCGACCGTCAAACTCTCTGGAAGTTTTCTGAGGTTCAAACGTGCCTCGCGGTCGACTGCGAGAATTTCACGGTCGATCGCCGATAGCCCAACGGCTATTTTTGGTACAGAATCGTATTCCTGATTTTCTAGGATTTTTGTTGTTTTGTTTGGGGTTTTGCCTGTTGGTTTCTCTTCCTATATAAACCCCTCAACCCCTCTTCTATCAGTAACCAAGAAGAAAGTTTTAAACAAGTTTAAGAGGGTTTTACAGTTTGTTTAGTTTTTTTGGGGGGTTTGCTTTTACAAAGAGGAGCTTGCATCATCTGTTGAGGAGTTCATCTTTAATATCTTCTCATCCTCTCTTTGTGTTTATAGAGAAGTTTTCTAACTCCTTTCTCTAGCAATTTTATTATCTCTCTTTGTGTTTATAGAGAAGTTTTCTAACTCCTTTCTCTAGCAATTTTATTATTGATTTTTATATTTTTATTATTGCTAGTTTGCTATTTGAGTTAGATTTTATTTCAGTCATTGTTTACACACACCCACATGAGCTTATTATATTTTCATACATAGTATATTTGGGTTGGTAAGAGTTGTAACAATTGAGTGTGAGCTTTCATTGTGTTCTCATTCATATTAGAGAATAATCATTTGTTGTATTTGTGCTTATTGTGAGATACACTTTGTAATACACTTGTACACCGAGAGGAGTGTGTGATGAGAGTCGAGAATCGTCCCAAGAGGAGTGGCATCGATTGATGAACCTAGGGAGAGGTTGTAACTGAGCACTTGAGGGAGACACGGCTAGGTCCAACACTTGTGAGGGTGTAGAGTGGGTTTGCAAGAGTGTGAGTTGTAGAGTTTTCGGTTAGCTAGAAAACCAAGTGTGTAGAAGTTCCGGCTTTCAAACCGGATTGTGATAGTGGATTTCTCCCCGGGAGTTGAGAGCGGAGACGTAGGACGGAAGGTCCGAACTCCGTAATTATTTGAGTGTGTTTGAGTTTGTCATTGGCGCATTTGCATATGCATTTATCTTATATCGCCAATTGCCTATTACTCTTGTATATTTTTCCCTATCACATTTGTAGTTTGATTATATCACCCTCGTGTTAGTTTATATATCCTTGCATATATTTTTATCATATAGGTTATATCTCATTGTTCATATTGCTTATCCTAGCTCATTATCTTGTTGTATTTCATACTTGCTAGGATAACTTATTAATTAGTTTTAATTAGTATAAAATCAGATTAGATTATCATAAGACCCTAATCACACCCCCCCCTCTAGGGTCTAACAACTCACACATACATACACATAGAAATTAGAACACACTAATACATGCTTAGTGTGTTGGTTAACTATAGAAATCCCCTATGTTAACCATTAGAGTTTATAGTTAATAATTGAGTGTCAAAACAATTAATTTATATCATTTTTAATCCTTAGTAGTCGACTAATTAGAATAATAGTCGACTACTCAAGTCTGTGTCTGAAATATAAGTGTCTGTTAGTTTATAGTGTAGTCGACTAATTAACTTTATAGTCGACTACTGAAGGCAAAATTTGTTTTTTCAAGTTTCTGTCAAATTTCTGTTTGATTACAGTATAGTCGACTAATGATCATTATAGTCGACTACTTAGAATTTTCCTGGCTTCACAGAGTCTGTTTAGACTCGGTGTAGTCGACTACTTAGAATTTTCCTGGCTTTATAGTCGACTACTGAAGGCAAAATTTGTTTTTTTAAGTTTCTGTCAAATTTCTGTTTGATTACAGTATAGTCGACTAATGACCATTATAGTCGACTACTTAGAATTTTTCTGGCTTCACAGAGTCTGTTTAGACTCGGTGTAGTCGACTACTGTGTCTTGTAGTCGACTACAGATACAGTTTTTTTTCAGAATTCAGAATTTGAATTAGTGACAGTTTATAGCCGTTTTTAAACGTTTTTAAAGTTTAAAAAATTTGTCTTTTCAAGAGCTATATAAAGGTTACATGTTCAGAAAAATACAACATATATAGATACCCATAAACTTTGATCTTTGTGCATTTTTTCAAGAGTTAAAAATTCAGATTTTACTAGATTGTCTCTGAAATTGCCTTTGATCCTCATTCAAAATACTTATTAATTAGGCAATTTTCAGAGGTTAAATTTATTCCCAAGCCACTGCTACACAACACTACAAATCAAGGCTTATTGAGTTGTTTGATTCAAGGAAAGTTCTCTCGGTTTGAGAGAGGTTAATCTCTTGGTCTAGAGATTGGTATACAATTGGCAAAGTTTTGTCAATTGGTGTTATAATTGGCAGTGACTTTCAATTTGGCCAGGTTTGGTTTTAATTTTGTACTTGGTTCAAAATTATAGTGGAAATCTCAAGCGAAATTTGCTTGGGGACTGGATGTACACTGGATTCGTGGAACCAGTATAAAATCTCTTGTCTATGATTGTGATTTTCTGAGATTGTTGCTATTCTTTATTACAATTTATTATCTACTTTGCATAAATTTTAAAAGAATATTATTCACTCCCCCTCTAGTGTTTTAGTGTATCAATTTCAGATCCTACATTTGGTATCAGAGAAAGGTGAAAGATGGCATCAACAAATACATCACAATTCAAAGAAGGACATTCTACAAATCGTCCACCAATGTTTGATGGATTGAACTACAACTATTAGAAGTGCCGAATGAAGATTTACATTTAATCAATTGGCTACAAACTTTGGAACATTGTGGAAACAAGATACGAGAAGCCATCAACTCCATTTTTAGAATGGACTATTTCACAAAGAAATAATGCAAATTTGGATTCTAAAGCAATGAACGCTTTGTTCTGTGCACTTGACAAGAATGAGTTTAATAGGGTGTCAACGGCCACATCTGCATATGATATTTAGCACACACTCGAGGTAACTCATGAAGGTACAAATAAGGTTAAAGAATCTAAAATTTTTGTTCTTGTACACAGTTTCGAATTATTTAAGATGAAGGAAAATGATACAATTGGAGAAATGTTCACAAGATTTACCGACATTACAAATTCTTTCATTGGTCTTGGAAAAACATACACTCAAGTAAAGATGGTAAGAAAAATACTCCGATCACTCACTCCACAATAGAAAAAGAAGGTTACCGTAATCGAAGAAGCAAATGATTTATTAATTCTTACGGTTGAGAATCTTATCGGAAATCTCATGGCTTATGAATTTCAAATTAAAGATAGAAAGAATGATGATGAAACAAAGAACGAGAAAGTGATTGCATTCAATATTACTTCCGATAAAGAAGATTCGGATGATGATGATGAAGAAATGAGCATGTTTGCATGCAAATTTCAAAAATTCATAAAACAAGGTAAGTACAAATCAAAAAGTTCAAATTCAAATAACTTACTTTGTTTCAAGTGTAATAAACCAGGGTATATGAAGAAAGATTGTCCATTATTGAAGAGCAAGCATAAATCAAATTATTTCAACAACTTCAACAATATTCAAAACAAAAAGAAAAGGAAAGCCATGACGGTCACTTGGGATGATAGTGATGATTCATCTTCGGATGAAGAAATTAAAAAAAAGAAAAGTGCTCATATGTGTTTTATGGCACAATATGAAGTAAGTGACAATGAAGAACTTTTAGATGCTTTTAATGAATTATATGAAACCTTTTTGAGATTAAAGGCTTCACATAATTTTCTTAAATGTGAAAATAAAAGATTACTTGAAGAAATTTCAGATTTTAATTCATCTACAAATTCTTATTCTCAAGTAATTATATTAAAAGAAGAAAATTATTCCTTGCTTTAAGAAATTCAATGTTTATCTAATGAGAATGTTTATCTAAAATCAGAATGTAATAATTTAAATATTCACATTAATAGTTTAGATAAAGATATTTCTTTTATTAAATTAAAATATGATGATATATGTTTAAATGTTAGTAAATTCAATAAA